TATGAGTCAGTGATGTATATCTTACATTTGGCTAACGCAAGTCAGCTTCAAAGGGAATACATACATTAGGATACAATGACATTGTACAATATGGTTAAGAAGATTATTTTTTTTGTCAGTGGTGGGGCATGTTCTGAGGGCCTAGGTGCTGTACCCAAGCTCTTTTGCTCTAAGCTATTGCTTAACCACTTTGAGTCACAGCTCTACTTCTGGCTTTCTGGACATAAGTGTCTCGTAATTTTCTTACCTGGACTGGCTTTGAATAGAGATTCTCAGATTTCAGCCTCCAGAGTAGGTAGGATTACAGGAATGAGTCACCAGCACCCGGGTGAACAATTTGTTTTTGTTGTTGCTTATTTATTTTTGGTATGGGAAGTCAGAATGTGTGAAGTCTAGAGATTGACTAAGAAGTAACATCAATGATATCACAAGGTATTTCTTTTCTTGAACTTATGGGAAATTATTTCATTTATGTCTAAATGTCAGTTGTAAAAAGCTAAAGAATTTTTCAATAAAATCTACTTTCTCCTTCCTTCCTCATAGGCCAGGTACAGTAAATACATTTTTCCATTTATAGGAAATAGTGATCTTCCTTCCTGCTTCACTACAATTGATTCCAGTGATAAATTATTAGTGAAGGTTTACTGCAAAAATTTGGTCTTTGACTACATAATATAATCATTATTATCATTTTTATAGCCAAAGTTCTTTATGTCTAGTTGTTACTAAAATTGTTTGACATTTCTCTAAAGAACAGCATATTGGTAGTTTACTTTCTCAAATCTCAAGGCTAAAAATAATAGGAAAGAAACAAATCATGCCAAACTTATTGAGAAGCATATACTTCTCAACCCTGCAAATGAAATGAACATTTTCTTGATTTCAACAAGGTTGTTTTTTAAAAAAAATTGCCTCAAGAGGTACAGATCAACAAGGACGTCATGAATTAAAACTAACTTGAACCATATTTGAATGCTCAACAGAGAGAAGAGTGTGGATATTGGTGAACAAGATGTCACATGTGTAGATTACTTAGTCACAAAATGTTGGTTGTAGCAAAGACATTTTTAAACGCCTTTAAGGAAGCTAGAGATTCAACAGCAGACCAATAACACATTGTAAAGGAGTGCTTAAAGAATGTAGACATTAGAGTTTGGATTGCCTCAGCAATACACTAAAGCACAATTGAAGGATCATAATTATGAAACAGCTAGGAAATACACTAGTTTATTGATTGTGACCATCTGCAGCAATCTGAAATGAATTGCTTTGTGAATGGTTGAAATTTATACACTGAATAGTTAAGACATCCTTATAACCATAAGCTTCTAAAGGACAGACTACTTGTCCATATAGCCTAGAAGGAAACATTTACGATGTTATCTTTAAAACATTTCCTTGCTTAGTCAATAAAGTCCAAATTAAAAATCAAATTACTTTACAGGTGGAAAATAGTTTAATGATCCACAGAAACATTTTCCCTTTTTTTCTTTCCTTCTTTCCCCTTCCTACATTTTCTTTCTTTGGTTTTCTCTTTTTTCTTCTTATTTTTTTCCTCTCTGCCCTCCCTCCCTCTTTTTCTTTCTTTCCTTTCTCTTTTTCTTTCTCCCCTTCTTTCCTTTATCTCTCTTTCTCTCTTTCTTTCCTTTTTCTTTCTGTAACAGTCTTAGGTTTGAACTGCTTCTTCCTGTACCAGTCTTCCTTCCTTTCCTTCCTTCCTTCTTTTTTCTTTTTTTCCTGTACCAGTCTTCCTTATTTTTTAACTCATTCAGTCTTTCTTTCTTCCTGCACCACCAACTTTTGTACTAAAGGCTAGTGCTCTCCTATCTGAGCCCCAGCTCTACTTCTGGCTTTTTCATTTTTTAATATTTTTTAGTACTTAATTGGACATAAGAGTTTCACAGACTTCCCTGCATGGGCTGGCTTTGAACTTTTGATTCTTAGATCTCAGCCTCCTGAGACTCTAGGAGTACAGATGTGAGCTACTGACTCCGAAGCTGCCCTTCATTTTTAGTCTTCCAAATATCAGAGAGTGGGGAATCTAAAGCTTTTATTATTATGTTACCTCTAATTTTATCTTGACCTAAAATGCTGATACACTTGAACTACACCCAAATTGGCAAGGTTGAGCCATCTAGCAGTTTGGAAGTTCAACAAATTAACAATAGTTTCACTAGGTTTAAGTAATAATTGTGTTCTTCGATCTCAATGGAAATTGCCTTAACGAAATTGTCTAACTATAAAAATTCCATTAACTAAAGTTGATCATGCTTCTCCAATCATTTCTCTTACATTAAGAAAAAGACCCATTTTTGGCAAGAATAATTAGATCTTGTCTTAGATCAGTACTTGGTTTTATTTAGGCAAAAAGAAACCTGAAATTACAAATAGGTTCATCATACACACACATATATACATACATACACATATATAATCAAGTTAACACATCAACATGAAAATCGTTAATATTTAAAAAATATATATATATTTACTTTTGCTCTATCAGTTCTACTAGACTATATTGAGGCACTATAAAATCAGCTTACAAGTTGCTCAAGGGCAGAGGGCAGCATGATGTATATGTGATGGTGTCTCTGACTTTGTGCCACATCGATAATAACTACATGAGATTCATGCACTCATTTTATTGTAGGTACCTTTTGATTTTGGCTTATTGCTGACCTTGGAAATCTTTATATAACAATGCAAATATTAGATATAAGTGACTAGATCACCAGAAGTTGTGACAATTAACTCTGGATTCATTGTTTTCACTTTCAGGTATCACTGGAATATACTTTCAAGTTTCTTTCCATTTAGTATTCACTGATACACAATGTTCTGTTTAGAGTGTAAATATTAAAGTAGCACTTTTCCCATCTCCTTCTTGAGTCATTGTTAATCCCTAACTAATAGGGAAGTATATGGAATACAATTAGTTATAAGCAATAATTCAAATTGCTTATAAAATCTGAGTATATTTGTTGTGCTTATGAAAAAATATAAACCAAGAGATGTCTCATATTTAGACATTGCTGATAATACTTAGAGGAAATTGTGAATTATTTTACTCAGATGCTAAAATATATGACAGAAAAGTGACTTGTGGTTCACTAATTACTTTCATATTGACATGTTAATATGGCATCAGTGTTTTTTGTCAGAAATTTCCCAGTCTTGGAGTTTAAGCCACCAGTCCCTTAGGGACATGATCAAACTGAAGCATAATGAAAATAATTTTGTCAAATAGGAAATTAGTAGTGTCAGGAATCAAAGAACATGAGTCTGTAGCTGCAGCTACATGGAAAACCCACATATTAGTGTATTCCCAACAAGATGGTACTGGGTAGACATATGAATATCACTTTTACCTGTGGTAAAACTATGCTAGCATTTGATTCTGACTATAAAGCTGCAGAAATGTCCAGAAGGTATCTTCATATTTCACATTTTTTCTTTTATGTATATGTGCAAGAAGGTTCCATGATAAAAATTATTTTCTATTCTACCTGCAATCTCCAATAAATATCCAAAATTCAATGAAGCAATGTGTCCTCCTTGAGAGTTTTCTTCTTAGAATATATGTGAGTCTTACAATTTTAGCACTCTAGGTAAAATGATATTATGAACATTTACAAATAACACCTAACATCTTCTGAAAGTACTTCAAGTAAATTGATGTTAAACAATACCACATAATTTTTCACTTTTGAAAGTAAATAAAGAACCATACTCATGTAAATAGCCAAGGACTTTGGATTACCACTTCTTGTTTTCATATTAGTTTTATATTCATATATTAAAATTTTAACTTAAAACTTAACATATTTTATTTCTAAGAACTAGTTTGATATGAAGATATTTCACTTATATACTTAGACCAAAATAGGAATAACCCAGGATTTCCACCAATTCTAATTTCCTTGAAGTTGTGTTTTCTCTACTTTCCTACTTTTGCTACCTCTCTCCTGATTCTGATTATTGTTTCTCAGTATTGATATGAGTATAGGCAAAGAAAATAAGAAACTGGAAGTGAGATTAGCTCATATGGCACCATAATAGTTCCACTAAAGAGATTACTAGAAAGACAAAAGTAATGTCTTAGAGAAATTATATAATTATTAGTGAATCATAATTATTCCTATCACCTTTCCTAAAAGTAGCTGTATGATTTCCTGCACAGGGAACTACAGAAAAAAATTCTCATTGGTACTAACTCATGTTCAAAGGCATAAAAGTAAAATAAGAGATGCACATTTTCTCTTTGATCAGTGTTAGTTTTATACCTCTTTGTGTCTAGTTATTTGCTAAGTAAATGATCATGACACACCAAACACTGATGATGTAATAATAATTATGTAATAATGATGATGTAATAATAATAATAATAATCAGCTATGTTTGTTTGATACTATAGTATCACTATAGTACTTAGAAGACAGTATAGGATGCCATTTTATTAGTCAATAAAATCAGAACCACATTTGGTAAAAACAAAAATGTCAGTAACACTTAGAACTTTACTAGAATTAGAGTTCGAAGGAAAAAGAAACTTCTAAGGTATGTCTACAAATCATCTTTAAATCTCCTACTTAGGGAACAACGGTCCACAAATACATATTAAAAAGAAAATTAGGGGCTAGGAAGGTGGCTCAGTGGTAGAGCGCTTGCCTTGAGCTGAAGAGCTGAGGGACAGCACCCAGGCCCAGAGTTCAAGCCCCACAACCAGACCACCCCCCCCCAAAAAGAAAATTAAAACAGCAAAAGTATGCAAAAATGTATCCATTTTCTAAACTGCTTTGAAATATATTTCTATTAGAAATATATTTCTATTAGAAATATATTTCAAATATATATATAACCATTTCTATAGAAATGGTTATCTGTATTTGTTATGAAGATCTAACTTCATAAGAATTGTATTAACAATTATGTTAACAGTGTTCATTATTTTACTTTACTGAAGCAAAAAACCAGAAATCTTACACAGTGAAAGGCAATGTATTTAAATATATATTTAAGATATCTCCAAATTATTTTTTATTTAAACTAATTTCTAGAAAAATTTTCTCCCTATAAGCTATCATGTCTTCTACATCTTTATAAACAAGCATTTCTTCAATGGATAACAGCTGAAAGCTATTCATATTAAATGGTGAATTGTTCTTCACAGCATTTAACATCTTTAGTGATGTTGTAACTGATTCACTCAAAGAAGAGCATACTGGAAAAATGCGAGCAGTCCACAAACTAAAACATGCCTTATTTCCTGAAAACAGTTCCTCTGTAACTTTAAGATTCCAAATATCTAAACATGACAGAAAACAGACACCAAAGAACTGAAGCAACTTTATATCTAACAATGTTTTCACATTCTTCTTCAAGTCATCTTGCATTCCAAATGCCATAGTTGAATACTTTAAGGATCCTTTTATCTTCAAGCTTAAAGAACTCAAAAACAAATTCGCAGGCAGGACAGCTTTGGTTACAATATACGAATTGCTAATAATGCAGTTTTCCCCAATGCACACATCAGGCTCCAATCTGGAATACTCTATAACAGAGCCAGGTGCCACAGAAATTCCTGAGTCTAGTATACTTTGAATGACACAGGATGTTTTAGCAGAGCCTTTTGGAATATCTGGAGTGATGCTGAAAGCTATGGATTGTAAGCCAAGCTCTGACTTCAAACTGCTATCTGAAGTAAAATGAAACAAATATTCTTCAGTTGTTCCAATGTGATAAAACTTGGAGTTATTAAGAACAACAACATTTAAGGGTGTTCCTTGAAGTAGATGAAATATTTTTTGTCTCACATCTACCAACGCTGATTCTTCTTGAGTGACATTTGATGTATCTCTGGTGTAGTCCACACTTGCTTCAGGTCCCAGTGCTTGCAGAAAATCCCCATAGGCATCTATTTCACACGTCAGTGTGCCTATTTGTTCATAAAAAGCAAGTAACTTTTTTGCTGATTTATAATCCATATAAAAGAGACTATCTGTGTAAACATACTCTGAATCTAAATGAAAATAGGCAGTGTCACCTCCACCAAAGTCTTGTTGACAGAAGTCTCCATGTTTACATACAGCATTAAATTGATACATCTTTCCTATACTGGGCTTATGAAGGAAACGGTAGCAACATCTGTATTCAAGGGCTCTATATTTTAAACAATTAGAAGACTCCAAGACAAATACCCCATGTGTTGTACCTACAGTCAAACTAGAAGGATGAGCTAATGCAGTAAAGCCAGGTTTATCAAACCTAATATACTCTGATTCTCCAATACTATATAATTCAATATCATCTGCACAGGTAACCAAAATTCCAGGATTCATATGTGAGGGGAAGTCAATGTACATGGCTAATTTTAATTCTAACATCTGATAAATGGGATTACCAAGTGGTAAAGCAGTGAAAATTTTCCCCAGAGCACTTGCATTTGGAAGCCGTTGACTGTAGCCACCTATAAAAATTTTAAAAATACATTATTTTTAAGATTTTTAAGTTTGTGGATATCAGTTACAATGCAAAATAGCTCCCAACATATTCAATATATATCATGTGTTACTGAAGTTCAAGAAAGAATAATGAAATCCAGATTAAAAATTCAATGAACAATTCTCCTACAATGATTTCAAGTAGTAATGCAGTATTGTAGATTCTAGTTTAGAAATGAATCCTATATAGCCTGTGGATTGCTTTGAATCACTTATGTAAAAAGAAAAAGAACTACAGCCTAAAAGTCAGCCCTCTATTTAAACTTTAAGCAAAAAAAAAAAAAAACATTCTATCATGTATACATTCAGATATTAAGCATTTACTTCATAGGAAAAATAGTTATAAAAGTTAATAAAGTAACACAATTTAATCTTCTATTCAAACTTCTTTCCAGATGTAGTCTCTTTCTTCAAATTATTACACTGCCTTTAAGGAAACAAAGGGATTTTTTTAAAGAATATTAAAAAATCTCTATTTGCTTTTCATTTAAATTGGCTTTTGCCATGTAAAGTAGATAGTATAACTTTTTCATAAAGTGTGTTCTTGCTAGGCATCAGTGGCTTATGGCTGTAATCTTGCTACTCAGGAGGCTGAGATTTGAGGATCCCAGTTTGAAGCCAGCCTAAGCAGGAAAGTCCATAAGACTCATTTCTCCAATAAACTACTTAGAAAAAGCTGGAAGTGTCGTTGTAGCTCAAGTGGTAGAGTGCTAGCCTTGAGCACAAAGAAGCTCAAGGACAGCACCCTGGTCTTGAGTGCAACCCCCAGGAAGGAAAATGAAAAAAAAAAGTATATTCTCTTAAATACATGTCTTACAACATAAATAACAGTGAAAGACAGATACTATATAAAGTGTCAGATAAACATGAAATCATACTAGTTCTCCACGTTTTAGCCTTTTACATTTGAAATTACTACAAAGTAGCAAATGTAGAATAATATCTACTTTCACGTGTTTTATAAGATTAATGATCAGCAACACAAAGTACTTCAAACACAGCACATTATTCAACAAATGAGACCTATTGATACCTATTTTTCTCATTTGCAAAGACTAAAAAATAGTAAACTTTAGCATTAAAAGGTACTCCTAGCTATCCTTCAATATCCACAGATTTGTTTCAAGATGCTACATGGATTTGAAAAATCTAAAGAACATAATAAGTTCCTTATATGAAATACCATAGAATTTGCATATATGCCACAAATATTCTCCTTGATAGTTAAATGTCCAGATTATTTAAAATAACTCCTGTTTTCATTATTTGATTCCGATGTTCTGCATCTTAGTATGTACATTTTTCTAATTTGGGGAGGGGAAGGGAAATAACAAAATGCTTAAATAAGGATACAGGTTAGCCACTGTAACAATGAGATGTATAAGATACTATGTTGAAAATGAACTTTACAATTTTGGGGGCAGGTAGGGAGGAGTTGGGGAGGTGGGGAAGGAAGGGATGGTAGGGGAAAAACAAAGGAGGAAGTAACAATACTCCTGTAACTATAACCCCTCTGTACAGTATTTTTACAATAAAAATTTATATGAAAAAAACTAACACAATGAAATGACATCTCAATATGCACTCTGCTGTGTAATTTAGGAAATAATTACATGAAAAATGCCAGTACCTGTTCAGCACAGACCCATTTTCTTTTTGTTAAGTATTTTCTACCTATGAAGAATGGAGGTCCATTATACTTTTGCTTATATTTTCTGATGTCTAATTTAACTTTCTAACAAGTTGGTTATAGGATATTTTTCTGGAATAACATAATAGATGAAACTGTTCTACATTTCAGTTAGTCTTGAAACCAAAACTGAGATATATTGACATTATCTTTTAAAAAAATTATGGTACAATACATGAATTTAAAAAGTAGTAAAGGGCATAGAAACCACACGGAATAGTGATTCCATAATACATGTCCTACTCTTATGAGTCCATGAAAAGTTTTCATCAATAGGCATATTTAACTTTCTGTACCTCAGATTCTCATCTAAAATACAAAAAAAAATCAACATGTACCCCAAATCTTCAATATATTCAACTTAAAATATTACTTACCCCTTTTGCTACAGTTATGACCTCTCACTTTTCCATTTTAAAATGTTCTCTCTCATTTTTGTTTTCTACTTACATATTTATGTCTCAATTTTGTACTTTTGCACGTTTTTTTCAAACTCCAGTAAATAGTGTAACTATTTAAGTACTGAAGGCTTTAGCAAGTCTAATATGAATATTAAACCAGCTTATCCCACATGAAGAATTCCTTCTAAGGAATTTTTGAGAAATGTTCAAATTAGATAAATTCTATTTTAGGGAAAATAATTTTCTACATGCATACCAAAGACAAAACAATATTTGATAATGTATGTGACTGGCTGTCTTTCTTTTTTTTTTGGTCGGTCCTGGGCCTGAACTCTCGGCCTGGGCGCTGTCCCTCAGCAATTCAGCTCAAGGCTAGTGCTCTACCACTTGAGCCACAGCGCCACTCCCAGCTTTTTCTGCTTATGTGGTGCCGAGGAATCGAACCCAGGGCCTCATGCATGCAGGGCAAGCACTCTACCACTGAGCCACCTTCCCAGCCCGTGACTGGCTGTCTTAATGACAAATTTTATAGAAATAGTTACATTCCTTGCAACCTAAAAGTAGCACGAAAAAGATGAAATGTTTCTAAAGAAAAATACCTTCAAAGCATCTTTTAAAATGTAGAGATTATCAAAAATAAAACTTGAAAGAAAATGTAAATTAATATAGTATAACTTTACCAGAGTGAATTAATAGGATAGTAAAAGAACTCCATTTATCTCGATATAGCTTTTCCAAACTTTGAAGAGCACAAAGTGTAGATCCTCCATTTCCTTAAAAATAAATTAAAAAGCACAATTGGTTTCATAGAAATCTACTAACTTTTTGTAGAGAGTAAATATGGATACAATAATTAGGTATATGGAATTTTGGCTATAATTAAATGGGCAGAAAAAATACTAGTAAAAGAATAAAATCAATACATCTTACAGCAAGGAATAATAAATAAAAGCAAATGCCATCAAGAATAAATGCTCTGCTAATATTCTCCTCAAATTATTAATAGATTAATCTGTAATACAAAAATTTTAACTATGTATTCAAATAATTATAAATCATAAACCCATTTAAGTAACTCCCCTATATTACATAATCAAGTATACAAATTAGATTTTCTCCATAAAAATATTTTTCAAAATCTTAAACATAACTACCAACTACTTAAGAATAATAATAGTAATAAAATATTGATTACCACACCAATAGCTTGCCTACTGTTAAACTTAACAATTATTGTTAAGTTAAACGTAAAAATTGTTAATTTTCTGTACCTCAGAACTGCCATCTATATAATAGGAATATACTGTTGTGAAGATTAAAACAGTAGAGACTAATCAGAACAATGTTAATGTCACATACATATATTCTTTCTCTGTTAAGAAAGTGTGCAGTTTTAAGTATCATGTGGAAAATAGCCTCTGAGAAACCATAATTCATTTTTATTTACAATGGAAAATTAAAGGACAGAGTTAGCTTAAGTAAGAGTTTTCAGATAAATATTCTAGAGTACTTAAGCCTTTGGACTATGTTCCTTTGCAGACTGCTTCTTGCTTCTGATCCTAAGAGGCCATTCATTACATACATACAAACATATGCATATGCTCTTTTCAATCTCAATAAATTGTTTTAAAACTAATAAAATTTTCTCTTAAACATTCTGGAAGTTGTATGGTTCAAATCACAGACTAAGAATATTTTCTATGCTTTTATCTTTCTAAAAAAAGTCAATTTGCAATCAGATTTTAAGGTCTGCAAAGGCCATGACTAGAGGTATGCAGCTAATAAACTGTAAAGCACAGACAGGTTGTTTTCCCTTTTCCTTTCTCCTAGAACCTATGTATCCATAAAATGCGTACCAATTTTGGCTCCTGCAGGATCAACAAAAACATGATATTGAACTCCAAGGGGTAATTCATTTCTTTTCAGCTTCTCTGATAGTTGTTGCCTATAAGCAATTTCCTGCTTTTCATCAGCTGCTGTTATTGCAACTATGTCCCAGAATTCTCCAGGTGCCACAGGTTTGCCTATTTAGAAAAAGTAGGAATAAGATAAGTATAATCAAAATGCTCTATTAAAGGTTTGCCTGCTTTAAAAGAAAAACCAGACTGATACCATTTATTATCATCTTCAAAAATGTATCTTGTTATACTTTGTTGGTATTATTCAAACAGTTCTGGAAAGTCGGGCACCAGTGGCTCATGCCTGTAGTAAGCCTAGCTGCTCAGAAAGCTGAAACCTAAAAGATTGCAGTTCAAAGCCAGCCCGGGAAAATCCGTGAGACTCTTATTTCCAATTAACCAGCAGAAAACCAGAAGTGGTGTTGTGGCTCAAGTGGTAGAGGGCTAGCCTTGAGCTGAAAAGTGCAGGGACAGAGTACAGGGACAGCGCCCAGGCCGAGTTCAAGCCCCACAACCGACAGAAAACAACAACAAAAAAATAGTTCAAATGAATATTGTTCTCAAACTTTTCCTTTTGTTCTTCAAAATTATGCTCCACAATTTCTCTTACTTCAAAGTTTAAACAGTTATACTTTTTGACAAATAGCATTATTTTTTTTATTGTGAAAATACTGTACAGAGGGGTTACAATTACATGGGCAAGATAATGAGTACATTGCTTATCAAGCATTGTAGCCTCCTCCTTTGTTTCCCCTTTCCATCCCTTCCTATCCTTCCTCCCAATTCTCCCCGCCCCCCCCCACCAAAGGTGTAAAGTTCGTTTTTGACATAACAACTTGTACTTCTCATTGTTGCAACGGGTCCACCTGTATCCTTATTTAAATGACTTGTTTTTCCCCTTCCCTTCCACAAATTATACCGACATTAAATACAGTGAATGCAGGGGTTATACTGTGGGGGAGGGACATACAAAGCAACAAAGAAATAATCTTATAAATACATTAGAAACAATGGCATGAAAGAAAACAAAACATTTGAATACATATCTTAGGGTTCATTTCCCTAACATCACCTTATCTGACCTTTTCTGCTTGGCTCAGACATATACTAGATATTGCAAATAAGGGAAACCATGGGACCAATGTTTCTTTGGGCTTGGCTTACTTCACTTAAACCTAATGTCCAGCTTTCTAAGTTAATTTTGTTTACCAAAATCAGTTAGTGTATGTTAGCTAAGAAAGATTCAAACTAAGACCCATTCCTTCAGTGTTTCTGTTTACAAATGTGCATATTTCATTTTACATGTGTTTTTATATTTTTTTAAATTGCTATTATACAGGTGATTTACAGAGATGATGAAACACACAAGTTTATCCAGGACTATGGTACAAAATTCTGGATCCAGGAAATCACTCCAAGTCCCTGAAGAACTCATTAAAAGAAAGACTGAACTTTTGGTTAAACAGTGGGAAATGGTTTACCCATTAACAAGATGAATAAACGTTTTAATTAGCTGAAAAATAAGACTTATCAGTTAGGTTCATGTAGTTTGGAATGTTTCGTTGTTTTCCCAAAGCGGAGCTCTGTATGCATGGCTTTAAGGAGATATAATGAAATGTGTATTATATACCATATATGACATATGATGTAATATATAATAAATATTATTAGTTGTACAGGTGTACATAGAAAGAAATAGTGACATATCCTGGTTTTTTTTAATACTTAAATTTCACTTAATTTTAAGTCATATCTTGTTCCTCCTCTCAGTTAAGTGTTTAAACTGGGGAGCTAGAGGAGCTGAGGGTTGAGGTTGAGAAGAGCAAAGCTAGATCGCAGACCGCTGTGCCATTTGTTGAAAATGACCTCCCTGAAAGGGCTTAACCTGTACATACCGAATTCAGGGCCCAGCGAGTCAGAGATCAACCCTGTTCTTATTCCCTTTCTCCCCTGTTGTATTTTGATCTTCAGTCTGACACAGGAGAAACGTAATTGAAGAGGGAACGGGAGCACTAAACTGAAAAGGCAGACACAGTACCCCTGGGTCAGCGTCCCAGGGTCGTGGGGCGGGCGGACACAGTACCCCTGGGTCAGCGTCCCAGGATTGCGGGAGAGGTAGACACAGTACCCCTAGGTCAGCGTCCCAGGGTCGCTGGGGGAGGCGGACACAGTACCTCTGGGTCAGCGTCCAGGCCTACGGGGCAGGCGGACACAGTACCTCTGGGTCAGCGTCCCAGGGTCATGGGGGAGGCGGACACAGTACCCCCGGGTCAGTGTCCCAGGCCCACGGGGCAGGCGGACACAGTACCCCTGGGTCAGCGTCCCAGGGTCGCTGGGGGAGGCAGACACAGTACCTCCGGGTCAGTGTCCCAGGCCCGCGGGGCAGGCGGACACAGTACCCCTGGGTCAGCGTCCCAGGGTCATGGGGGAGGCAGACACAGTACCCCCGGGTCAGCGTCCAGGCCCGCGGGGGAGGCGGACACAGTACCCCCGGGTCAGCGTCCAGGGCCGCGGGAGAGGCGGACACAGTACCCCTGGGTGAGTGTCCAGGCCCGCGGGGCAGGCGGACACAGTACCCCTGGGTCAGCGTCCCAGGGTCGCTGGGGGAGGCGGACACAGTACCCCTGGGTGAGTGTCCAGGCTGCGGCGGGAGGTAGACACAGTACCCCTGGGTCAGCGTCCAGGCCCGCGGGGCAGGCGGACACAGTACCCCCGGGTCAGCGTCCAGGCCCGCGGGGCAGGCGGACAGCAGACACTGTCCAGCCAACTGCGGGGTAAGGGAGGCGCCCGCCCTTCTTCACAGCCCGGGAGAGACATGCTCCCTTCTAGGGTACCTCTGAGTTCCGAAAACTTCTTCAGTTTTCGTTGCGTGGCTTCCTGTAGAGACACGCTTGGCGGGACCCTAACAGCCGCCATGCCTGCCCCTTCCGGGAGCCAGCGCAGCGTAGTTAGTTTGCACTTGCGCGTTGGATTAGCCTGCGACCCCTGACCCCATCACCTCCGCCCCGCCTCTTCCGGCGTCTTCCACGTCACTACGCCCCGCCCCCTTTCCTTCACTGCCACCTAGAGAGGCGTGATGGGGTGAGGCGGACGCTTGGCCCGTTTCCTTAGCAACGAACTCGGGAGCAGATGGCCACCTAGCGATTTGTGGGTCTGTGCAGGGTCTGGGTGCAGTTTTTCCAGCTAAGAAGGCCTTACAGCCCCGTTGACCCGGTGAGTGGTTCTAGTCGGGAGCGATGGGCTGGAACCTGTTAGGGGGAAGCTGAAACCACGACCCCGAGCCCAGCTTTCTTGTCCAAGGTGGTTGGTGCACACTGGAGATGTGTTGTAGTCAGGAGCAATTCCCAAGAAGTTCTGGTCCCTTCCTTTCACCCCCAGGTGTCATTCAGAGCTTCCAGTTTTCCCAGCCCAGGTCCAGGCACACAGTCTAAATATTGAAAAACCTGTACTGCCTCGAGGCAGTTGAGGTCTGGCACTTGAAACTTCAGTGCGCCACACACCGCTCCGAAGTGCAAGCCACTTCTCCCATAGTTTAGTTATTTTGCATTCCCGACTTTCTTTTATATGTCTATATTAATCTAGAACATTCAGTATTATTCTTGGAGGAAAAGTCAGCCTTTGAAGATGTATTTTCATTAGCTAATTATAGTTATTTAACTTGAAGACAGCAAGTTTGTAACGAGGGCTGCTGGTTAACTTCTTCATCTTTATACATAAGACAATGGAATCAGAGGAATTAGTAACTTATTTACGGTATTACAGTTTATAAGGAAGTTATAAGTAGTTAAGTAAGATTATTTCAGTCCAAAACCTAGTATTGTTCTACCAGCCAGTATGGTTTGATTTGTTAGAGAAGCTTTCATTAGCCTGTTTTAGGAACACAGGCAGTCAAGGCCCTATAGATACAGTTTGTAAGTAAAACCTATAAAATCTTGACCTTGTTATTTTCCTCTGAAATAAAAAAGCAGTAAATTATTCTCATAAAATGCAGAGGTGCATTACAGAGTTGCATTTTGTTTCCTTTGTGCCAGTACTAAGCTTGAACTCAGGGCCTGGTCACTGTCCCTTAGCTTTTTGCATCAAGACTAGCATTCTATCAGTTGAGCCACAACTTCACTTCCAGCTTTTTGGAGGTTAATTGGAGATATGACTCTCATAGGCTTTGACATGACTTTTCTAATATTTGAAAGGATCACTTGGAGATGTGACAACCAATACAGATAAATATAAAAGAGATAGAATTAGAAAGGCTATACTGAAATAATACAGACAGAATTAAAGGTGGGGATGAAGTGGTAACAGTGGGGATGGTAAGAATTTGCTCATATTCTGGATACATGTTGAATGAAAAACCCACAGATTTTTGAATGGCTGTGAACTGTGTGAGAGAAAGAGAGGAGTAAAACAAATGACTGTCTGAAGACAGTTGGTTAGATGAGGAAAGCTAAGTATGGGGAAGGTTTGTGGAGTAGTAGGGCAAATTTTTAATTTGGCTATACATATGTAGCAGAAATTTGTGTGTGAAGATATCTGTGTGCATTTTATGTATGAGTTTGGAGGTCAGGAAAGACATCTGGTTATAGATATAGCTCTAATTTGTCAGCATATAGCTGAAATTGACAATGATACGGGTAGATTGAGATTTCCAAAGGTTAATAGGGCTTGCATGGGGTATTTCACAATCTAACAACGTGAAATGAAAAAGAAAAAGTAACCAAATAATAAATTTCAGATAGTAAAAAGAACTTTCAAAGTGATAGACTTATATGAAGGTATAAGTAGACCATTTCTTGGATCTAGGAAAAATGACCATAAGTATGCATATTATTTTTCCCAGTATGACTTCATTGCTCAAGTAAAATGTGCTGGAAGTAAATATACCTTAATTTCAGCTATGCTTTCCATATAGCTGTGATACTAGTCTCATGCTACCATCCTAAACCTTTTATTGGTTGTGTTTGGATCTCATTCACTTTTAGTCCCAGGCTGGCTTAACTCCAATCTTCACAAACACTACCTTCACAAACATTACCTTCAAGGTAGTGTTACAACTGTGAGCTAATTCACCTGGTTAAATTTTCATTAATTTGTAAGCATAAAAAAATACTATCTTGAGTGATTTCAAATTTTCTTGGCTGTTACTATAGGAACTACAATATCTAGAAATTTCATTTTTATATTTGTTGTAATAAAATGAATATAAACTTAAAAATTACATTTAATGTATGCATTATGGAAGGTTAAATAGACTTATGCTACCAGAGCACTATTTTGCCAGAGAATTTACCACAGATAATTTGCCAGTTATTATTCAGAGTATTATTTTCTAAGAGAAAATTTGCCATCCAACTAAGAAATAAAACCATTACCCAAATCAAGCACAGTAGAAATGTTAGTCCGATTCCCTATTTAAAAAGGTTATCCAGCTGGGCTTTGGTGACTTATGCCTGTAACCCTAGCTACTATAAGGCTGAGATCTGTGGATTACATTTCAAAACCAATTTAGGCAGGAAAGTTTGTGAGACTCTTATCTCCAGTTAGCCATGAAAAATATGCAAGTAGAGCTGTAGCTACTATATGAAATTTATCATTTTGTTACCTTTTCATTTTCATTTCACCTTGTTAGAGCTGTAATTCAAGTGGTAGAGTGCTAGCCTTGAGCACAAAAGAGACCAAGGACAGCACCCTGAGTGAGCTCCCCACCCCCCACAGACATCTAGCAAATTATACTAAAGTCAGTTGGAAAATAGTATATTATGTGGGCTTTTCTTTCTTGGAGGAAACAAAGAGTGTTTGGTGAATTGCCAAAAAGAAGGGTAAGATGGATGTTTAAAAATAGATTTGTAGAAGTATACTTTTATTCTGTTAACATTAGCTGTGTTCAGAGAGCACTTTAATGATTTTTGGTGACTCACTGTCCTAAAATCACCACAATCATGTTAAAGAATTTCCATCACCAGTGAAGATGCCTTCTTCCCATGTGCAGCTAATGCCAACTAGTTTGGATTTTGTTACACTAGCCACAAATATGACTTTTTTCCCAATAGCTTGAGAAATGCACATTTTAATTTGTCTACCATTCATCATAAAAATGCAAATGCAAAAGGAGAAGGTTGTGCATTAGGAAGGGTACTTGACCTGAGCAAGCAGTGCTAGGGCTCTTCTTGAATCCAGTATTTCATTCTTGCTGTGTATTGTTTCTTTTTCACCTCCTCCTCTTCCTGACATGCTGAACTTACTTTGATTTGCAGTTGTTTCCTCTGTTCTCAATTTCCTCTCCTCCCCCACTCCCCAATTTAGTTCTTAATTGCTGTTACCAGGGTTTGAGTGCAGGGTCTTAGGCTTGCTAGGTAAGTGCTTAACCATTTATTTGAACTATAGCTTTAGCCAAATTTTCTTGTTACTTTTTTGATAAGATTCTCACTTTTTGCCTAGGGCCAGCCTCACATTGGAGTCCTTTGATCTATGTATCATCTAAAGAACCATGAGGCTGGCTTACTTCTTAAGATGGGGTTTTCCCAATCTTTATTTATTTTTTCTTGTGCTGGCCTCAGACTGTGATCCTTTCTGCCTCTTGAGTAGGTGAAATGACAGATATTCCTGGCCCTCAATTTATATCTTAAACATGTATTTTTTTTTCCTTCATTGTACCCTGCTGAGGGGACTTACCCTTTTCACCTTACAACAATATAGACAAAAATGCTTCACTCTCTTACTGCTTCTAGATATCTAATTTCTCTCTAGTTTTTGGCAATAGTTTTTTTTTCAAGTGTCACTATTGGCAAATAATAGCAGAAAGTCATTGTTATTATTTAGTGGATAAAAGGCAAGGGGCTAAACAATATCAACTGGTAAGTAAATACAATGTTATTAGTTATAATAGCTTATTTTATAGAAATGTATGAGGGCATGCTTTAGACAGTCAAACTATGGATTTGAATGCGAATGAAGAACTATTTGGACTAAAAGAATCAAATATTTGTTGTGCTACTCAAATTAGAAGGTATGATTTCCCCGTAGATGGTTTTGTGAGGATATTTTGGTTTGAATTATTTTATTTTCATCTTTTGAGTCACCACCTTTTAATTTGGGTAGTGAATTATGCTTTGGAAGTCTGCAAGTATGGAAAAAGCAAAGTTGGTGCCTTATGAAACTATTTTTTTTTCTGAACATGTGATAGCCTTCTAAATGTTAAAAAAAGAAAACCCAGTACACTTAAGGCAAAAGAAATGTCATGAATATAAATGAATTCTGAATCTTTCTTTCCAAATGACTTTCTTTATTTTTTTTTGTTCTTTGTTTTTGATTTTGTCATTTGAGACCATGGAGGAATGGGTTCTGAAAGCATAATAAGTCTATCCATTTCAGTACTTAGAAGCCTATTTTATTCTATTGTTATTTGCCAGGATACATGGTTTTTTACTAAATGATCTTTTCTTCTAGTATTTTTATAAAACATTTATTGGAGATATAACTTTGTGGTATATTTGCCACCAAACATGTATGTTTTCTAACATACATGATGATTCCAGTAAATTGACAGTATTACAAAACAAACAAACCTATTTTATCTGTAATATAAAATCATGACAATTTTCATCAAAAGATTGACTGAATACATTTGTTGTCCAAATAAAAAGTATTTAAAAACGTATCTGCTTAATAATTGACTGTGTTAAAAAAAACTTGTGGTTATCCCGAATTCATTTCTGTTTCTGCCACCATTTTTATTTATATGCAAATGTCTTAGCAAATTCCTTGAAAATTCTGGTGTACAATATTGAAAATTTCATTTATAATGCTTATAGACTAAGTACTTCAACAGAGACCATGAAATGTAAAAATTTCTTACTGAAAGTTATGCATTCATGTTCACATTACTTAAAATGTCCAGTTAATGAGTGAAAAATCTAAAATTTCTTTTCAAAATTTATTGTATGTAATGTTTTGAAAATAAATCAATATGATAAATATTTTTTACATCTTAGTTTTTAATTTTGATATTTCTTAACTTGAACCTTAAGTAGCCCTTATTCATGTGCCTCCCACAAATCTTTTTAAATAGAAAGTTGGGATTTAGGTGAGTAATATTTGATATCATTTATTTCATAGACATAATTTATAGTTTGACTATAATATATAATTTAAAAGTTAGTATTTAATAGAAACTAACAAAGGCTTATTTATTTTTTTTACCCCAACACTTCATGCAA